AAAAAAGTCTATCAAAAATATTGAACCGCAGCTGCAAAAAAACAGTGTCTTTATCAAAAAATTGAACAGCGGCTGCAAAAAAAAAAAACAGAGTCTTAATCAGAAAATGAAACCACGGCTGCAAAATCAACCCGTAACCCACGAAGAAATGGCCGTAATCGCACTAACCATCGTCGGCAAAATTCGAATACGAGGATTTCTTGAGAGCGGAAATAACTTCCAGGAAACAATCTTTCCCGATTTTGACGCTGTACGTCTGCTCCCAGTGCGACCTCTTCTTCTTTATCGCCTTCATCACCTTCCTACCCACCTGCAACTCGGGTACTTCCATGGTTTACAAGCTTGATTTTGCACTTACAACATCTAATGTGTGCGTTCAAATTTCGGCAGATGTTGGAATTGGAAGACTTGGGATTGTGTGTTACGTTTCACACACATAATTTGCTGCTGCCATCAGAGTCCAGGGCCACGTGATTTCTTTAGTACTACAAAGAAATTTGATGAGTATGAATCAACAAAGTGGTAGTTTTTCACTAGAGCTAGTACTAGATTAGTGTATATTAATAGTCACCAATTTATATTTTCTTTAGTTTTGTTAACATACTATACTGTAGTTTACAATATAGGTTTTATATGTGTTTTTCACCCTACTCAAATTCTATGACAATATATTATTTCGTATGCGAAAGTTCAAAATTTGTGTCAAATTTTATAAACTGATATTTAATTTAAAAATAATGCGGTGTATATTATTATGAACTGATATTTAAATCTCATTTTGAGGTGTCTACAATTATCAGTCGTGTGGTCGTAGTCTTGGTGGAACCTGCAATAACGAATCGACTTTGGCTGAGTTGGTCCATCCCTCTTCGACTTCGACCACGTGACTGTTCGACCGTCAATCGCCATTTGTGTTTTTAGTGGAGTGTATTTCTCATACCTCTGGCCATTTTGGAGTGGTCGATCATGTCATCTGTCCTCTTGTCGCCGCACCGACCTAATCTGCCAGTCGTCCTAGGGAAGGGGCCCGATGAGGAAGGTGAAGATGGTCAACTTCGTGGTTGTGGGAGCTGAGTCGTCGTATAATATCATTTTAGGGAGGATGAGCTTGAATGCCTTTCAGGCGGTGGTGTCAACGTACCATATGACGATTAAGTATCCGGTTGGCCGACTTCGACTATAAATCAAGAACCTCACATTGTACCTGTTTGGGTCAAAATCTCTGGCCTTCTCCTTCCTTGTTTTGATCTGAAGGCCATTCGAACAATCGCCAACATCTTTGGCACGCTTCTTCAAGTCGATGATGCCACACGAAACAAAACTCGACTTCACTACGCACGTTTTGCATAGCTTTGAATATCGAATTCCTCCCCCCCCCCCTCCCGATCATATTGTCATTTCTTGTGGAAACAAACGAGTCAAACTCAACATTGAGCTTCAACGCTTTCCAATATACTGTTCTTACTTTGCCGATCTTATTACTAAGGAAAAGAAGATAGGGAAATGGAACTAGACCTAGGCCTTTCCTTTCCTCTAACGGGGTAATAACAAGTCCATTCTGGTCCAACTAGGTGGGTTGTGGTAAAGTATATCCTGACAACGCGGTGGCGACGGTCCGTCTATCTATCACCGCCTCAAAGCCCTATTTAAGGCTAAGAGGTGCCCAGACGGCCTTTGAATTGAAAGAAGAAAGAGGTGTAGGACAGTAGTCGTCTTAGAAAGAGGACGATGAGGCCACTAAGCAAAGGTGGACGTTGGGGCAAGTCGACGTTCGCTTTTCTTAGCGGGAAAGAAGAGTGGGTTTGAAAATTGCCCTATGTTAGAGGTGTTCCAAAAATATTATGTTTCTCTGTTAGAGGTATTCCAAAAATCTCTTCGATCGAGTAACAAGTTCTACGACCGAGGGAATAAGCATCGGCTAACATGTGCCAGCAGTCGCAGTAAGACAGAGGATATAAGCGTTATCCGGAATGATTGGGCGTAAAGCATCTATAGGTGGCTTTTTAAGTTCGCCGTCAAATCCCAAGGCTTAACCCTGGACAGGCAGTGGAAACTACCAAGTTGCTCTCATGTGAGACATGAGGTCTCATCCTGTTACATAGAAAAACCCAATCTTTCGCCCCTCAAAAATCAACAAAGATAAAAAACTGCTTATTGAGCCCACTCTCCGAAAATCTAGCCCCTCTACTCAAAACCTTTTTCCCCTCGCTCCCTCGGACCCGACCCATCCTTTAGTCCAGGACCCAACCTCGAACCCAACCCCCATTCTTAACTTCTCTTCATCATTTGCGCCTCCTTCCTTGATGCGGGAGCAGACAATGAGTCTGACTCTTTGGAGCCAGGATCACCTAAGCCCAACTCAGTGCTAGTCGAGAATTCTTCTTTAACCAGACTCCCTTGAATTTCCACCACAAACCTATCATTGACCTCCCTAGTCCCTTTGCTCCATCCTCTTATAGCCAATCTTACACCAACTCTTTTGGGGAAAAACAGCGGGATAGGCGCAACAAAGCATAAGAAAAAACCTAACCGAGAAGGTTTCATTGAGATTCATTGATGTACTGTGGCTTTGTTGGGGAATAATCCCGCAAGATTTCGCTTGTCTTTCAATAAAATATGCTTGGATTTTGGTAATATATATATATATATATATATATATATATATATATATATATATATATCAGGTTGGCAAGAGAGTTGAGGAGGTCGTAGGTGATCAGTTGACGTTAAAGACCTATTATCAGCCCACAGTTGAAGTAAATATGCGGAATGCAAGGAGGTTGAATGCCCCGAATGAGGAAGATGTGAGCAGGACACGTGGTTCGAGGTTGAAAGAAGAGAGGCCGAAGATGGACAAAGGATAGCAGTAGACATGAATTCAGCCTAGAGAGGAGGTCCAAGAGATCCAATCGAAGGGAGCGGAGAGAGGTCAGAGCTGATCAGGTTGGTGAAATAGTTTGCCGATATTTTTGTTTATACTTTAGAAGATCTGACCGGGAATGATGCGAGCATTATTGAGCATCGGTTGAACATAAACCTCATGGTGACTCATCCTCGAGTTTTATGTAACTAGGAAGGTGCACGTGCTACGCACGTGATATTAATCATTTTTTCTTTACTAAAAATTGTTTTTATTATTAAATTTACATTTAAATAGTATAATATAATTTTCATTCTATTAGTTAATAAAAAATTGTCTATTTTATAATAATCAATAATAAATGTATTAAATAATGAAATATAATATTTAATACTTTTTTATCAAACTGTGACATAAAAATTAAATAAAAAATATTAGTTTGAAAATCCACAGTAAAATTATTATTATTATTATTATATTTTGTGAAATTTTAAATGCTAAAGAAATTTATGTCGTCTTTGATTTTGTTATCTAATGATAACTCATTATGCTTAAAAATAACGATCATTATCATTATCATCATCATATAGATTTTTAATGTCTTCTTTTTGCGTTATGCTCTTTGAAAATAAGTCGAATATGTTATAACTATCATTTGTAGTTATAGTTTTTGTTATTGCTAATTGAACAATAACCAACTACGTTTGATTGTTTCATTCTCGACTATTTTCATCATAGTGGATGCTGATCAAGTATAATATTTCATAATACGTAGATATATATTTTTATTTGGATAAAATGGCACAACAAATAAATAAATGCTTGAAAATGTCTTTAAAGTCGTGATTATTTCAAAAATAAAATTTAATTGAAAAAGATTAGAAACATTAACATCGATTAAATGTACCCATTTCTCTATATATATTGTCCAACATTGGTTGATTGAAGGTACTCGTCTCATATGTTGTCCAACATAAATTATTGTTGCATCTCCTAACATTACCATGCATGCATTACTATTTTTTGTTCACGAATTTTCAAGACTATCCTAAATGTGACAAAATAAATAATTTCAATTTATATGAATTATAAAATGGTGATTCTTTCATATTTTACTTTTATCTTGATATTATTTTTTATATCTTCGTCAATACTTCATATAGTTCTTTTCTTTCTTTTCTTTTTTTATTTACTTTTGAAAAGTAATTTGAATCATTTAATTTATGAATTATATAAATATATATATATATAATTGCAGGCTATTACATTAATGTAATTGCCTATCTTTTCCTGCTTATTTTTTTTAAGGTATTTTTAGTATCTTTCACCTTTCATTTTATTTGTGTTTTTTGTAATTGATATCTAAATTTAATATAAGTTGTAATGATCATATCTTAAAAACTAATATAATTGCACTTTTGTTAATTTGGTAACTAAATAATTATTTGAAATAAAATAATATATATATATATATACATATATATATATATATATATATATATATATATATATATATATATATATCGAATTTCCTTAGGAAAAAAATTATGAAAATAAATTATAACCATATCAATTATTTTGTTTTTTTTTTCATTTCTAGAGATACCATTATTAATAAAATATATATATATATATATATATATATATGTGTGTGTGTGTGTGTGTGTGTGAGAGATAAATAATCCTACCTATCTTTTCAAGCCATCTTAATAATGTAAATTAATGTTAGTTTATAAATTATGTTATCTTTTATCAATTTTTATTCTAAATTAGTTTTTTAAGTGTTGTAAAATACATAAAAAAAATTAGTAAGGTGTATTAATTGATATGAAATGGTTCTTTATTTTTTCTACATATTTGTGCAAATGAAAAAAATTATATTCATCTTTAATAATGACGAAATATTTTTCTTATAAAGTAATACCAATATAATTACTTAATTATAAGTGAAAAATTATCAATGAAATAATCTAATGTACACGTATTTTATTATATAAATATAGTATGTGTATCATTTGTTCGATAATACTCTGAAAAAAGATCAATTTATGTGGTATATAAGATTTACATTGTCCATTTGATATTTTATATTTTATATTTTTTTACTTTGGTAATAATTTTATTATTATACAACATTAATATAAAAATTAGATTATTCATTATATTCATATAATAATAGTCAATAATATATAGGTTTTACATTTCTATTGTTCTTTTTTTATCGAAGTATAAAAATTCAACTAAGAGTCTTTAATTTATTTCAACTATAAATACTGTTGAGTAAAATTTTGTTTCAATAATGATTTTTATAAAAAAATATTTATTTATATTTGGTAATATGTGCATGTGCACAAAATTAATGCTAGTTTTATAAATAAGAGTGGCTAATGACAACAAATTTAAAGTAAATGTACTATTTACTTTTATTTAGCATATTTTGATTGTAACTAATTTTTAATAAGTGCACATTT